TTACTATAGCTTCTTAAGTATATTGATTGCTTCGGGTGCTTAGAATTTTTTTTGGGTATGTCGCAAGGTGTAATCGATTAAACCAAAGTGCATTAGGCATGTCAGTATACCAATTTTTGTACTGTTTGATATTCATCAAAATGATAAAACTATGTGTAAAAATGGGGAACTTATAAAAAAATGTATAGCTGAAATAGCTAACTCGATTTAAAAAAAAGCTAAAAAAGAAGCTATGTAATAGCTAAACACAAATTTCTATAGTTAAACGTCGAAAATAATAGCTAAATGTAGTTATGAAATAACTAAACTGGCAACACTGGTTATGAGTAATATTGGGTCATATAAAAAATCTCTGCGGACTTCTGCCACTGCTGATGCTTATAAATTTAGCAATACTAATTCAATTCCGGCAAATTGATGTGCGTTTGAAAGGGGACATTTAGGCTAAATTTTTAGTTACAGACAGTTCTGTGATTCGCTGCTTGTGCAAAAATGTCAAATACTACGTTTATGCGTAGGCAAATTCACGAAATCATTTCATGAATTTGGGCTACAGTTGGCTGCATAAACACAATATCATGAATTCAATTAACGGCTTTTGAAAACTCAAAAGAAGGCCAAAAAAGTCACAACACTACTGTTTAGTTTTTCGCTGATGCGCTGCCACTTTTTCAAAACACTTCATTTCATGTATTCGCGAATTATGCATAAACGGAACCATTTTTGAATTAATGAAATGAAGAATTCGTGAATTCTGCCGCATTAACGTAGTAAAAGATGCACCTCGCCCTGCTCGGCCAGTCAGTGGAAAAGTCGATGAAATAATGAAAATGGTTGAAAACGATCAGTCCAGTGCCTCCGTCTTGACCTGCACAGCCGCTAAACTTAAACGTAGAATACGTGATATTATTAGGATCATATTCAAGTTTAAACCGGTACACGAAATATTCGTTTTGATTGTATTGAATTGACTTTAATAAATCAATATGAATTGCAAAATATCAATACTTAGCAATAGAGAAGCAGATCCACATTAACTTCAATCATATGTGCCATCAGCTTGCGTCTGATATTGTGATACCTACATATTTCATGTGCGTGATGAATTAAGTTAAACTTTATTTTTTAAATACGTGACAACGCTCCTAAATACAGTTTAGAAATGAAGCCTTTTTAAATCCATTTCGTTTGATACCCATATTTTTAATACTTGCTTTCACTTATTAAATAATTTTAGTTTACCTTTTTAAACAGTTGGCAACCCTCTTTAATATTATTAATATTTCGACTAAGGATATCTTACCACCTTCGTTTCACGTCATGTTTTAATAATTCATTTAATTAAATTCTCATTTTAAAACAGGTGGCAACCCTATTCAAAATATTTTAAAACGAAAACCTAATTAAACCTTTTTCAACTGACACACATATTGCGATACATATTTAAATTGTATATCTAATTCCAGGTGGCAACCCTCCTAAATACAATTAAGAAATAAAGGCTTTTCAAAACCATTTTGATCGATACTCATAGTGTAATAATTGATTTAACTTAAAAATAATTTGAATTTGATTTTTTATCAGGTGGCAATTCTTTTTGAAAAAATAAGTAGTTATTGCACATCCACAGGCCAAGCCCTTTAATTTCATACCACAATTTGTAAAATCGAACGAAAGGTACAGATCTGATAAATACATACACACATGCATAGATTATCTACTAAAAGAAAAATATATCCACAAACTTAAATCAAAATATTTACGTATGTATGTATTTACTTGCATACGCTGTGATTAGGTCGTAAATATTGCGCCATCTGTTACTCAAAAGCCGAAATACCTTCACGCACATAGTTTTTGTCTCCTTCTCTCACTTCCAACGCAAGCACGCGTTTGAAAGTTGACGAAGTGATTTTGTATGGAAAATCATTTATGCCCATATATATGAATAAAATAAACATACTTAGAAGATATCAACCAATACTTCCCATATACAAAACGAAAGAAAAAACTTTCATTTTTGATTAAGGAAAACGAAAAAAAATCATTCGAGCGGTTTTCGAGAATTTTGATAGTAAAAAAAATTTGCTAATTTTTTCAAAATATTTTTTTGCCTTAAAATGCTCGATATTTGGTGAATTTATATAAAATTTGTACACGATAATATTTCTACTGCTCCAAAGAACCCATATCCCGTAAATGAAAAATATATCTGCAAATCATAAGTTGCTAGAGCACTTTAAATGCTCAAAATTGACCCCAAAATAAGCCAATATTTACCGTTGTTTCTGGGACAGACACCGAATCGGTTACTGACAGGAATGTATCTGTCGATAGGATTGGAATCTTGTCTTTGAAACGCCATACTTTTCTTTGAAATTGCTTCATTACAACTACAACATTTGAGCATAGCCTCCATATCGAAACGTAAGACGTATTCTACGTCAAAAGGACCGCGGCATGCTATCTGTCAGGAGATATCGGAGTTTGGGGTCATCCAAGAAGAGCAAGGTATTCAAAGAAGCTCGATGCTCGGGTGCCACGTAAATTAACGTAAAGAAATTTGATTGACCAAACTGCCATCAGTGAAACCAAACGAAATCGAACAATTTTTGAAACGAATCATTACGGCCGATGAAAAGTTTATTGAATATGAGAGTAAGCAACGCAAGCGATCATGGTCAAAGACGACTTCAAAGCCTGGATTGTCATCAAACAAGGTTATGTTGAGGGTTTGGTGGGATTGGAAGGGGATTGTCCATTATGAACTGCTACAACGTGGCGAAACGATCAATTCGGTCTTCTACTGTGCGCAACCCGAACGTTTGAACGAAGCAATCAAGAAAGAGCCACCAGAGTTACCAAAAAGAAAAGGAGTTATGTTCCTTCATGACAATGCCAGGCTACACACATCTTTGATGACTTGGAACAAATTGACTGAGCTTGGTTGGGATGTTTTAATGCCCGGACCTTGCACCGTTTGACTTACATTTGTTTTTCGCCGATAAACCACGCAGGTAGAATTATGCAGCTACCCGAAAAATAGCAATAGGTTACAGATAATAATGACCACTTGTTCTTGATTAAAATTGATTGACAATAAAAATATTTTTTTTTTCAAAAATTTACCCAAAAATCCATAAGGACCATTTTTGGAATAATACTTTCAATCTAATAATAATATATATCGTCGTTTAAAGCAGGGTTGTTGCAAATATTCGCATTTGCATTCGCAACCGCGGAGCTTCCGCATTAATTTTAACATTCGCTTTCGCATTCGCAATAATCAATGCGGAGCTTTTGCGAATGCATATGTTGTGCAAGTGCACCGATGAAACGTTTATTTAGGCCAGTGGTCGTGGGAGTATTTGTGTAACAAAATTGGTCAAATGTCATATTTATCAGCTTTGATAAAAATGTCTTTAAACATTTTATGGGTATTCATGGAAACGCGTAAATGCCTCGTAACTGCGTAAACCTCGTAAATAAAGCGATACACAATGAAGTAAGTTTACGAGGTTGGCATGGTTACGAGGCATTTACACGTTTAGATGAATTGCCCTATTATTTCATAAGCGATATAACCAGCTATCAATGGGCAGTAATACAAGTTCCCACTTCTACTTGACATTTGACGTACGTCAAAGAAAACATAGTCCTTTTAATACTATTTTTTTCTGTGCTTTAAATACCTGCATTTGTTTCTTTCTTTTTTTGATTTTTTTGGACCAATCTTAAAAAAAAACTACTAGACACAAAAGAAGAAAGTGTGCACTGTAATTCTTTACCAAATTTTCGTAATTTTCTTTTAATGTTACATATATTCGTTTCAATAATTTCAAATGGGGCTCTTTAGGGAATTTATTTTTAGGAAACATTTTAAAAACAGTAATTTTGTTTACTTGTCGGGCAATATTTTTTCATAGGGATATACATTGGATCCTTGGCTAAAAACTTCTGTGGTAAAATTGTCCCTGCTTTGCTATTTAAAGTCAAAGAGTAACTTCCTTCAATATGGATTTCCAGCAGAGATGATCAACGTCTGGTTATAAAGAGAATCGATGCTCAAATAATTAAAAAGCTATAGGTCTTACCTTTAATTACGTAATTATCTGAGATTTAAATGCTTATAAAAAACGGGGTGCTTTTTAAAAAAATAAAAATATGCTGATCCGATTCGGCTGGCAGCCACGACTTTTAAAACAGAATTTTGTTCAAACATAATAATTTATTTCCCATATCCACCTATTTACATAGCTCGCTATAAGCACAAACTTTTCATACCAGCCGCAGAAGAAAGTACTAAAAATTAATTACAAAAATTAAAATCGAAAAACGCTGATAAAGTTACAGATTCCCCAAATTTTGAAATAGCCAAAAGAATGAGAATGAAGAATTCTTTTTAAAAAGCTTTAGAAAAACCTGAAATATGTATCTGGTTTAGCTTGTAAGCGCTGTTTAAACAACGATCTCGCCATTATGCTAGATTATAATTGTGTCTTAAAAATACTTGACATCCGCATTCGCATCCGCATCCGCGGATGTTAGCTGTTAGATATTCGCATCCGCATTCGCATCCGCAGATGTCTAAAATTCCACATTCGCAACATCCCTAGTTTAAAGTACAAAACCGCGTATCAGCAAAATGCAAAACCGCGTATCAAGATAATGCAAAACCTCGTATGTGAGGTTGCATAAATTATTTTCTAGAGAGTAAAAACACTCATATTTCAAAATGATTCTCTTTTTTATAAAGCAATCGCATTTCTGGCTAGTATATTTTAGGACGAATGGATAAGGATTGAGCCAAGAGCTTATGTAAGCAAATCCAATTTTTGGCAGCCAATGTCAGTTACGCGGTTTTGCAGAATGACGATACGCGGTTTTGTACTTTAAACGACGATATGTATAAGATTATATATATATAACTATATACATATAATATAACAATAATGACGACAGCCGTACTTTAATTATCTTTTTATTAATCTTTATTTCAGATTATTTACATCACTGCCAAAATATACTCAACGTTTACTAGTTTTATTATTTGGTACATTCCGTGTTATTGCCAGCAATGCAACTCAAGCCAGTACCGGCATGACCAGTGAGGCACTGGGCGTTTCAGTGGCCCCGAGCTTCTTTCAATCGTGCGTTAGTGATGGGAAAACAGCGCGTATGGAAGACGTGCTTAAGTTTAAGGTAGGTCAAAATGTGGAAACATGCACATGGTAAAAATATCATTTTTAATACTGTTTCGTATCATGAGTAGTACTGTATAAGCTAAAAAATCCTTCCTTTTTGGTTATTGTTATTTCCGACAGGGTGGTTTGGAAAAACCGAAACCGGTTCTGGTGCTGCTCTTAGGGTTTCTCCTTAATTTCTAATAAATATAACTTATTTTATATTAATAAGTGTTCACATACTTTTTATTTTTTGTAAATATTCTTAATTTATTGTTATTTTTATAAAAATACTGTTCATGCTTTAAGGGCTGTTTCCAGCTCTCAAGAAAAACGAAATATTCATATCAAATGACTCACAAGAAATGGAAAAGCAATTTTTTCCATCAAAATTTCTTAAATCAGTAAGATAGTAATAACACTGTGGAACACAAAAAGAAAACTATAGTTTGATAGCTGTTGGCCAAACGAACAATGCTTCATAATAAGATTTACTAGATAAATTCGTGTTCTCGAGAAAAAAAGTTTTCATGATCCAAAAGTCTGAGTACCGACGGCAAAGTTTTTTTTCTCCATATTTTATCGTTTTTTCCAACTTAGAAGGGCAATCATATTTTTATGCGAAGCTATCTTTCATGGCAGAAATACACACGGAGGTTTACCATTGCCTGCCGAGGGGCACCCGCTACTAGAAAAAAACTTGTTTATGTTTTTAGATATTTTATGATGTTTGGTTGAACCGGGCTCGAACCCAGGCCCCGCTGAATGGTAGCGCGCACTGCTAACCACTACACCACAGAGGCCGCCATCTCTGAATAACATTTGGAATATTTTTAGGTTTTTGAAACTCAATTTTGGGCGTTTGATTCACAAGTATAAAAAAACTCGAACATACTTCGTATAGAAGAAAATGAGTAACACCGTTAGCAAAAAAGATTATCAAAAGTTTGCAACTCCTGGTTATTTATTTATTTTTAATAATTTTCATCTAAAATTTAGTTCGATCTATAACAGAAACCACATAAATAATAGTTTAAACGCTTGCACAAAGTTTACAAAAGTTAATCAAACTTTAAAAAAATTTCATCAAAATTTGGAACTTTTTATTCAGGATTTTTAGACAATTTTCGAGTATGCAGTTTTGTTTGTAGCCCATTCAATTTTAGTACATTAAAGTGGAAGTTTTAAGTCACTAAAAATTACCGTTAATTATTTTGAATTGTAGTACTATTATTTTTACTACTATTATGTAGCTCTATATAAAGCTATATGCCAGGGGTGGGCAAGGCCAAGGCCGAAAAGAGCCACATGTAAATTCTAAATGCTACAAGGAGCCACAAAAATAAAACAACAAAAACAAAAATTTTATTTTTAAATAAAATTATTGTTACAAATGAAAAATATTAATTTTATTATTATTCTAATGTATGTAAGATTGATATTAAAGAAAATTCAAAAGATCCCTCACAGTTATACGTTGTACTAAAAATTTACGTCACGCAGCTGTTTTCACCAGCGGGTATTTTAAATCTGGTACTTGTTGCTGGAATCCAAGCAATGGCAAAGCTTTATCTTGCAGTGCCTTATTTTCTTTTAATTCCAAAAACTCCAACTCTTCTTCGCTTTTCTTAAAAAGGAGTTTTTCGGATATTGAAAATTCATCTTCAATTGTGTTAGATAAAAAAGAGTTTATGAAGTATGCAAACGTACATTTAAATGATTTCAAATGGGCAAATCTTTTTCAAAATTTTCTTTTAAATCATGTGCAAATATTTTTTACTAGCCATGGAAAATTATGAGATATTATTTTTTGAGATCATGAGTAAAAAGACGTAGTTTAACTACAAAACTTAAAATAATTTGCGACCAATAAAAAACATTTTTATTCTCTCCTTGTAGAGACAAATTCAAGCTTTGCAAATGTTCCATCATATCTATAATGACAATAATTATGGCAGCCGAATACGGGTCTAAACTAATTTTGCTAATTTTTTCCACAAAAGCTGAAGGCTTTTAAAAATCTTTTTCAATGATTCTAGATTTATTAGCCTTGAAACAGCATTTTATTTGGCATATATTTTATCGATATTTTGTGAAAACAGCACATAAATATTCAGTTGTAACGTCACACATTCGTAGTATATTTTTCCATAACTTTGTACTTTGTGCTCGGGATTTTTACCCCGCAACATTTTTTTCAAACATTCCTATGCAACTACTTTTGAAAGACGACTGGTATTCAACGGATTATTGTCATCCGGAACGGGCTGAATGTAAAACGTACCCTTCCATCTTTGAGAACTTCTTTACTTTTACAACATTCTCCTGGAACGGGCTGAATGTAAAACGTACCCTTCCATCTTTGAGAACTTCTTTACTTTTACAACATTCTCCTGGTAGTCATCTTATTTGAAGTTTCTCAATCAGCAAGAGTTTTTATTTGATGTAGTTTCGGCTAATGAATACCTTCTCTCTTCACAAAATTTGAAAACTGTCTCCACACCAGGGATGAAAAATGGATTGTACCTAATATCATAAAATAAATGTACCTAAATGAGACAGATTGTACCTAAAAAAAGTTACATCATTAATTTGTCGTTTTTTTTATAAATTTTATACAAAACATGAATACAAAAGATGGATGTACTTTAAACATGATTCGGTTTTTATTTTAACGCGTTGTTTTTGTCTAATTTTGGCTACTGAAAAATATTGGCGAATAAGAGAAAAAACGCACTTTGGGAAGTATACTACATCTTTATCCAGCTTTTTACAAAACAACAGGAAAAGTCTGCTAATTTATCCGATTCCTTTTAATAGGTGCAGCAAATTGCCGTAAATATCTTCGAAAGCATTTTAAATATATTTCCAGAAATTAAAAAGCGAATATGAGTCAAATAGCAATAGTTCTCATCTAAAGAAAATATGCAATTTGAAGTCATCCTACTCTCTAAAAAAAATTGTGTAAATTTCCTAGCTAAAAGGTAGGTTACTGATTTCCTACCTTATTATTCGCGAAATTACATGCTCGATTATGCAATGGATAGTTTGTTTAAATGGTGTGCGTAAATTTACTACGAAAGTGTGTACAAGGTACAAAATACATATCTGCTGTTTGATTTCACCCATAGAATTTTGTAAAGCCGCTAACAAAAAGGATTTTTACACACGAAAATGTGTAAACGAGAAAAATACATATTCATCGTGTAAATTTTACAAAAAAATTTAAAAATAAACAAAAATATCGATGATATTATGGGCTAGAAACTTACAAATAGCCGCTTTAGCAGCGCATGTACACGCCTGAAGGCCTATTCTGATCTAAATCAATCAAAAGACCATTTTCTAGTCCCATTTGACAATTTGTTTTCACTCATTTGACCGCAAATGCCATTGAATTTGACTTAGTGAAAATAAGCGTTAAAATTAATAGAAACAAAATTACGAATTTGAGGATAGCTAAGTAAAGAGTTAATTTTTCGTAGTGACTGCTCTAAATGCAATGTAAAATATTTAAGATAATACATAATATGACTTTTTTTAATTTGTTCCTTTTGACCACTTTTCTTTAGAATTGTTTATTGTTCAAAATGAAAGCGAAGCTTCTCCCGTGCTTACAAGTAAATATATTTTATTTATTTATTTTAAATATATATATTAGCACGGTAAAGGAAAAAGAAAAAAACTAAAAATGCATCTGATCAAAAGATGATTGTACCTAAAATCTAGTGACTTCAAGTCATCAAACGTCGGAAAAAAGTACAATTGTACCTACTTTTTTTCCCTGCTCCACACCCGGCACATTGGACAGCAAGCCGTGTGTATTTTTTGTGGGCTTTGGAATCCATATACGTAAACATAGTTTGAAATTTTAAAGTAAAATGTGAGCAAAAGTGACAATTTAAAGATGAAATTCTCGAAAAAAGTAAAATCAGCTGCTCTACTAAATATTCAACGTGAAATGCGTTGAAAGAAACCCTTGAAAAGCTAAATACTAATGAAATTTCTTTTGGAAATTTTTAACAATAATTATTAACGTCTATTTTCGATCCATACTCACCCAGGTTTTCTCCGCAAAATTATAACTTCAGAAACCATCTACATATGTATGTGCTCCTTGATTCGAATCGCAAGCGTCCAGACCTAAAAATAAAAACTCGTTCATAGACATGTCATTTTAACGCAAAGGCGCCAAAATACCGAATACGGGACAAATACCGGACATTAAAAGAACATTTGGCGTCCCGTATAAAATAAATAAATTACCAGGACGAAGGACGAAAAAAGACGACTGTCCCGTATAATACAGGACGGATGGTCACCGTAATCATATCGGTAAAGAACATTAAGGGCCTTTACTAACGGCAGAAAATTGTTCTTCACTTGAAAGTGCGTTATAAGTATTTTCGTTTTCTTATCTTACCGGTAAAAATAAATTCGTTATTCCAAAATTACGGCAACGCGAAAGTGAAACTTCACTGCATTCAGGTTGGCAATGCAACATTAGCAAATAAAGAGCAAGAGCCACTCTTAGCAAAACCCAAAACCTTGGTTAAAATGTCTAATATATCTGACCCACGAACCAAAACCGAACCAAAATTTAAAGTTGGTTACAAATTTTTAAAGGCTACAATTTATTGATTCGAGAAATTAATGCGCTGATGAGGAAACGAAAACTCGTATATGGAGGCGATAAAGTAGCCGGTAAGCTAAAGGTTAGATGAGAAAACGGCCCTAAGTCAGAAAGCCAATTTTTATTCTCCAATTGCGGGTAATGTTCCGATCTCAATTTGCGTATATGTTTATAAAAAGAATAAAATAAAAAACCAACACAATGGAAAAGAATGTCCAGCAAAGAAATATGTATTTTAAAAAGTAAAAAGAGCCAAAATGTTCTAAGCAAAGAGAAAGTAAAAAGAGCCGCACTTTGCTAAGCAAAGAGCCGCATTTGCCCACCGTTGTTATATGCTCAGGATATGTTTGCGGGGTAGTAAGGGTGGTTTAAGAATTTATTTAGAAGTATGAGCCCAAATTGGTTTCTTTGGGTTCTCGAGGCACAATAAAGTATTTTAAAAGGCCGAAAAAAAGAAATGCGATCCAAAGTTTGTAAATCAGACTATGAGACACGGTGCTGCTAAAGCTAATGTCTGAGGCCAAGCCCCTATCCCAGGGAAAGGATTTTTAGGACCTAAATAAAATAACGAAATTGGCTAGAAAAGGCAAAATAAAATAGTGAAATATTCAGGAAAAGGCACTAGAAATAAAAAAGGGCAAAATAATACACTAAAAAGACAAAAACCGAAAATTATCAAAAAATACATTTATTTTAGAAATGTTTATTTTACAAGTAAAAAGTGAAAAGCTATGAACTAGTTTCATTATACATATCGTCACCTGGGTAAAAGATTGTCGTACGTTAATTTCGGTAGGTTGTGGGAAATCGCGATTGAAGTTTGGAATACAATTTCTCAAAAACGCGAAGATATATTTTCTCCAAAGTCTCTGAAAATGTTACTAGTTCACAAAACTCTTAAATTATTTAATTTTTAATGTTTATTGTTAATAAGTTTTGAGTTTATGAAGGATTTTTTTTAGTAAAATTTTGTCGTAAGCGCCATTTGTCCGCAATTTGGCAGCCACTTTGTATGAAATACGACAAAATGTGATCAAAATTTCTACTACATTAACGACACTTTTTACTCAATATCTCGGAAACTAAAGGAGATATCAAAAAATGGAGAACGTCATTTTTAAGATATTGATTAGTTTAATATGGCTGCATCACTAACTAAATTTTTACTTAATTATAGAAAAAATTGTAGTCAATATCTCGGAAACTAAAGGAGATATCTGAAAACTGATAACACCAATCGAAAGACCTTATTTCAAAATATATAACTGCATCTAAAACTAAAAATCGTCAAAATTGCGCTTACGACAATCTTTTACCCAGGCGACGATATGAAAAAATTGTACTTTGAATCTTTGACTATTTCCTCCTTTCGAGTGTTTAACTCACAAAACTCATATTGAACCACAAGATGCATTTTGAAGTTTTCTGGCAGCATTTTCATTCGATTTTCGCGAATAAAAGCCTGAGTGCGCCCGACGTGAGTTGATACACGTGGCGCCCAATTTAAATATGGAATGTTTAAATCTATGTTCACATTACAGCATAAATTACTTCGTTTCGATTAAATTACTTCACATAAACCAAGTACGTTCACATTTTCTTTCTTATTTCTATAGCACTCAGCATAAATTACTTCGTTTCGATTAAATTACATCACATAAGCCAAGTACGTTCACATTTTCTTTCTTATTTCTATAGCACTTGTACGTACGAGTGTGTGGTTTGTACATGACTTCAAAAAAACAAATGGTTGCATACCTTTAGGCATTTTTTCAAATTTCTTCAACAGTGGGGCTAAAATGAATGAAAAATCTTTCTTTTCTTCATTTGGCTCTTGATTTATGATAAATTATTTCATTTCTATTTAATTTATTGAAAGATTTTATAAAGCGAAATTACTTGATTTCAGCATAATTTGCTTATAAATTACAAATGAGCCGTAAATTACGATAATGTGAACATGCTTTAAAACTTTCATATTATCAGGAATAAGTATATATGGAATCAGGGTAACCTAATTTATGGACATTCTTAATCGAATATACTCTATCTCTTTAGCAGAAAAAAAGGCAATTTCCATAAAATCCGTTCCCTGGTCATTATTTTCTTTCACTCTAGCATAGGAGCAAAATGGCAAACATTTTTTTTTTCGGACAATCAAATTTAGGTTTATAAAGGGCTGTCTTATTGCCCGGATTTGAACTCCATCAAAACCCTCTAGGGCGATGTTGAAAAGGCTTTTTAAAAGTTAAGCCAGAAAATTTGCTGAATTTATGGGAAAATATTCTTAAAGACGTGTGCAGATGCCACGCCACTGTACTGCTGTTTTAGCCAATAAGGGATATCGCTAGTGTAGAGTAAAAAGTTGTAAGCCCCACTTTTTATTAGGATAATTAAAAAATTCATCGTTTTTAAAAATACGGAGTTATTTATATTATTTCTGTCCGTTTTTATTCAGAGAAAGCAAATTTTGCCAGATTCAAAGAAAGCACGGGTAATCCGACAATTTCTATAGAATACAATAAATGTTCATTAACTTCGAAATCTACCGATTCGAATTGAGTTATATTTTGCTTTGTATACGCAAAAATGTCCATATACGTATTAAGGTTTTGTAAAATATTTTAAGAAAATTAGTTTAGGAAGTTTCTCGACCCTTCTGCAAAGTTTGGAAAAAAACAGGACTTGACAAGTTTTCTAAGCTAGCGATATTAAAAAATTAAATTAACTTAATCTAGTCATAATAAATTTAGACATAATAAATTTTTATTGGTGTCCAATCTGATTCCGGCATAAACAACAATCCCGATAAATTAATTAAATCCTACACTATGTACCTACTTTTGCGATCCCAGGATTTTCGGGACCTTGTTTGTACAATCCCGGGATTAGTCCCGGGATTTAGATATTCATTATTTTTCAATAAGTGAACATGAAAAAAATGCACTTTAGTATTAAAGGGCAGTGTTTAGACAGATACATTGCATCAATATATTGTTTTACAGAGGCTCCAAAATGTCCAAAAGCGCGTTTTTCGGCACCTTTAAACCTAAGTTGCTCGAAAACTAGAGCCAATCTAATATCCTTAGGGTCAGATTCGGATTTTACGGGAAAAGTCCTATAAGAATCGCTGGAATATTTTAGTCAACATAATATTGTTTAAATTTTGTTGGCATGTGCAATAAATAAATGGGGTTGAAACCTAGTTACTTTTTTATTTAAATTTAAAAATATTTCATTAGTAACAAAGCAAGAGATAGTAATTAAATTATTACGCATTTAACAATACTTTAGCGTGTACATATCTGATAAAGTAACTTAAGGTATGTCGAAAAAAGCTTAAGCCAACAAATATATTGTGTGGTTGAAAGAAGTTCATAATACTAGTGGCAGAAATAAAAGAAACGCCTTATTTCAAGCAGTTTAGTCTATATTTCTTTTGTTTATTTCATATTTATTTTTTTTTTATAAAAGTCTACCTCATTTTACATATAATTAGCCACATAAATGCGCAATTAACAATGCACAAAAATTTAAAAAATACAAAAAAAAAATAAACTAAAATTTCAAACTTTTTACTCAGCATTTTAGAATATTTTTAGGTACGTAGTTTTATAGCCCATTAAATTATAGATTATAAATTACAAGCAGTTACCGTTGATTTTTGGTAAGTTTTTTACGATGCTGGGCATTTTATTCCATATAAACAAATTATCGAACATACATACTTTGTATGGAAGAAAATGCCTGACAACGCCAGCAAAAAAAAATTATAAATATATTATTATATTATTTTTAGTCACTTGAAACTTGCTTTTTATCCCCCTGTAATTTAATGGGCTAAAAAATTGTGTACCTAGAATTTTTCTAAAAATTCTGAGTAAAAAGTTTGAAACAGGTTCAACCAAAAAATTTTAAATACCACACCAAGCAATCAATATACTCACCAAATATAGTAAAACTGCTTTTTAGTTTTAGAATTTTTTTAATTAGAAGTTTGTAATTTCAAAGAAATAATAAAATCCAAAAATTATTTCCGATGCCAAAAGAATTATCGAAGTCGGTTAACGTGGTCCAAAGTTATACGGTAACATACATTAAAAAAAAATTCATTCCGACGAACTAATAACCTCCTTCTTTTTTGTAAGTCGGTTAAAAACTCAGTGCAATCTAGAATAAAAATGGGTTCAAAATGAAAGGGAAAATTCTGTGGGATTTAAGAAAATTACAATTTTTTGGGCTCACAAGGACGAATAGGTATTGAAAATGCCCAAAAATAACAGAAGGGTTAGAAGGACTATATTCGAGGATGTTGTCAAGTTTATATATGCCACCATTGCAAATCCTGAAAATCCGGAAATTCTTGGCGAAAAATCCCGGGATTTTCGAGACATAAAAAAGGCCGAGATCCCGGGACCCCGAGATTAACATCCCTAGTACCTACATACCACATTTAATTCAGGGACAGAATCGTGGCTTTCGCGAACAAATGATTACTCGTTTCGAAACGAATCTAATAAAATAGCAGCTGTTTTCTCCCCAATACAATTTAAATTGACATGGCGCACTCGCTATCGTATGCCGTGATCTCAAAATCAGTTTTCGGTTCCTTTTTAGATTGAGACACTCGATAGCTACTCTGCCTTTTCAATTTATGTTGTATTGAAAAGAAACGGTTGTCATTTAATTTCATACCATTCGAGTCGAGTTTCATTCGAACCCGAATGCCGTGATGCGGGCTCAGGTCTTTTAGCTTTTTGATTAGTTCATCTGTTTGGTTTTTTTTTTCTAGGTGGCCACAAAAATTATGAAGCAAATAATCGATAAATTTGCCACCCATGATCTATTTGGACGTGACAATTATGAATATTACGCGAGAGTTACTGGGCGTATTCTTAAGGTACAGGATGAATGGATTTGTAGCTTTCAGTATCCCCCTCCACCACGTGGTAAATTGGCTCAACAAAAATATGCACGTAAGTACAAATGAATATTAATTGCATCTATTTAAAAAGTAAATGGGTTAATCTATATAAAACGTGCAAATGCCAGACTTTTTGTCTTTAAATTTTTCTTCGAATGTAACGCGAGTTAACGTTGGAAATACCTCCATGTAGTTTCCTATTTTCTTCCCAGAACATTGGGCCAGTATATCAAAAATAAATTTGCCTATAATCGATTTACTCAAACCGACATATCTATATATAAATACGTTAAGTTCGACACTAGCTTGCCATATACATATGTATGTAGCAAAGCGTGGTGAGAAGGACGGCTTTACGAGGAAACGGTGTCATTGTTATGAAATAATATGTTACTGAAAAAATTGTATCATTTGTAAAACCGATATTAATTTGATTTGTTTAATTTCTTCGCTTTACAGTTCAACACTCCCTGGAGGCAGAGAAGACATGGTTGCAATGCCAGTGCGAGCGGTGGGGTTTGCGTAAGTATAATCATGTCTAAATTTATATGGGTTGTTTATTTAACCAATTTGTGATATATATCTAAATCATTTGCTTTTAAAATCAGTGTAATTGGCAACTAATAACCAAATAACAAACAAGTTTTCAATAAGTAGTCGCTACTTAACAGAAGACATAACAGTGACTAACGTTTTTTCATCAACTTCTTTTGTCTCGTTAAACTCTGTCACTATTAAATTGTTTCAGTAACCATTTTACTATTTCATTGTATGTTTTGTTTTATTTCTTTTTGGTGTCCAATTAGTTTAATGTAAACGTATTTAGTCACTAATCTAGCTTATTCGATTGACATCAGAATCATCACACACACCTTCGTTTCACTTTCACATTTCACATTTGTAATCGGGTTTTATTTCTCTTAATCTGCTTTTAATCTTTATATAGTACTAAGCTTCAACGTGATGCAGATTGCTTTATTATTTATTTTCATATCTAAAGTCGAAAAAGTTTTTAATCATAGTTATAATGAAATGTTGTAAAGAATAATTTAACCAACCACTCAAAAATGAGTAAATCTCTCTTTTCTTTCACTCTGACTCATCTTCTTCCTGTATGTCGTGTTTATGTACATTGGCACTGCCTGTCAATTGTGAATACATATAAATAAAAATCGTCTAAAACTAAACAGTTGCTCAGGAAGAATCCCGCTCTACGCCTGCCTTGCTAACCAGCTCAAGCTCAGCTTTAGACAACAGCGTGCTGTCACTTGGCGTAACACCAGAACACTCTTTTATTGAATCATGTGCACGACTATCTGTCTCCTTGGAAGGCCCAAGTCTATTCGCGTTGACATCTTCTCCGATACCAAAGCGAAATGCTCAGGATTTGCAACGTGACACCGACAATGATGCTGACGCCGATGAAGAGAATTTTGCCGACGAAGATGCTGACGCTGATACCGATGACTACGAAGAAGACTTCGCAGCTAAACTCGAAATAAGTAACGAAGACGTTTTGGAAAATAATTCGAAAAATAACTTTCCACGTACGACTGCTCCAAGCAATTATAGAACTGCAGCGGCATCTACAGGCAATAATCGCGCCTTAACGCAGGGTAATGCCGCTATGAATACCACTTATACTATTGGTGTTGAGAATATCGATATAGTTGACTCGAATGATGATGAAGGAGATGATGAAGTGACTGTAGTAAGGCGCCGTTATCGTCAGAATAGAAAGAAAATACTAACCCAAACACGAATGCAACACCAACGTCGCCTGCGTGCCGGCTCAAAAAGTCTGGATGCTGGCGATCGCGCATCACAGAAACCCTTGAATAGCGAGGGATCCGATAGCAGGACTAAATCGAAACACAACAGCAAAATGCAAAGCAGCATCACCAGTGGCGGCGGTAAAACGACAACAACGCGCACTTGCAGCCGCTGCAATCGCGGTATACGTCATTCATCTTCGTGCTCCTCAGCTTCTGGAGGAGGTGGGGCTGGCGGCGTGGGAAATGGTAGTGGCATGACTATGGAAGAATTGCGCGCTGTAAATCGATATGCAGAGAGTACAAAGAGCCTTTCCTATTTGCCACAGGTGAGGGATGAATTCATGCTTGCTTCACGGATTTCGGTATAGATACGAACAAATAAATTTTTTCTCAATTTTAGAGTTATGTATTTATTATTTCTTATTTTGATTTTTGTTGTAAACCCACATACATTTGTATTAAAATACGTATTTTTTTTTAATTTTAATTTTAATTTTCCCTTTTCACGTTTCTGCTTTACACACAAGTATACCCTTACTTACAACAAATTAATATTTCAATTGGCTAAATTAATTTCCAGCTAGGTTAGTTGATACTGACAGGCATTTCAAATTAATTAAATAATGTATAGATATGCATACATACCCGCACACCTACAATTGGTGTAATATGAAGTCGCCGTTTTTGGAGGATATATTTTTGTGCGCCACCTGCATATGTATGTTAATGCATATAACAATAGTTTATTACAAATGCTAAATGCAAGGTTTCGCCACTTAGAAATGATTAATTTATACACTCACGCGGTTACGTTCAGCTTGCATAATGTAACATTTCCAATCCTTGCATTGTTCGTATATACTTATGTTTATATGGGCATTAGGGTGGTCCTTAAAAGAAGAAAGAAGGATTTTTTTAGGTCTCACCCTCTCAATGTTGTTGTTGTTGTAGCGGCTACAACAACCCCGCCCAGATCGGTTGGTATCTCAGTCGTTGTCGTCAAGTTCCAATAACGGCAACCCTAGGAAGCGTGCAGCTTCTGCGGGGTTTGCCCATAGGGACAAGGCTGTTAGGGATGTCGGGTTTTCCGGGCATGCGAAGAGATGTTTCGAGTCATGTGGGGTCTCTCCGCATGCCGGACATTCGTTCGGCACATCCTCATTCAACCTACTCAAGTAGGAGTTTAACCTGCTGCAGTAGCCGGAGCGAAGTTGTGCGAGTGTAGTGCGTGTCTCCCGAGGCAGATGAAGCTCCGTCTCGTCTATGTCCGGGGGTGGTGTGCCTAGAACGGCATTCACAGGTCTAGAGTCTACATAACTCGAGACTGTGAATGCCGTTCAGGGCCTGTCTGTAAGCTGTCGGGTCCAGAGGTTGCTTAATGAACCTCTGGACTTCGTCCGTTAGTTCATATAGATGCCTCCTGACGTGCCTAGGCGAGGGCTCCTCTGCAAGCAGCTGTCTGCTTGGGTGGCCACTACTGTGGCTCCCGATCAGGAACTGCTTGCAGAGCATTATATTATGCTCCTTTACCGGGAGCATTTGCGCCTCGCCGTGCAGGTGGTGTTCAGGCGACCCTCTCAATCGGTAATACCACTGTCGCAGATAGCACATATAAATTTGGGTCCCGATTGGAAACGGTTATGGCGTGTCGCACAGGGGGCAAAGTACGGATTCCTCTATAGACTCAAAAAATTAAAATATATATTTTTTTCATCTAATACCCAAAATCGATACTACCATAGTCGAATATATCACATATAAATTTTTGTCCCGATTGAAGTCGTTTAAGGCGTGTCCTAAAGGGGTCAAAGGCCAGATGCCTCTAATACGGTGCTCGCATGAGGCGATTTTACAGGCAACTTTTAGTTGGAAGCAACAATCGCCTGGTGTGAACGGCCTTTCAACTAATCGCTTCCAATAAAGTTGGGGTGCAGCCAACTTTTGATTCAACTAATCGCCCCTAAAAATGTCTGTAAAATCGCTCATGCGAACACCGTATAAGCAGTGTTGTCGTTGAGAATTTTCAGAAAGTCGCAAAAAAAGGGCTCATTGAGGAAAAAAGGGTAACCATATTATTTTTGCTTTCCTTTACTAGTAAAAGAATAAATCTGAGAACCATAAATAAATTTACATGTATTACAAAGTCTTTTCGCTGCTAGAACGTTCTGCTGTTGAATTTAAAAAGAAAATAGCGGGACAAGCTTTGCACAGAACAGATTTGCAAACACACACAGAAATTGAGTTGCATTTCCTTTAAAAGTTTTAAGGGATTCATTTTTTCGTACGTACAGTAGGAAATATTTTTTAGTAGCATGGCTCTGTTAACATTTCCTAACAAAATCTCTGAGAAGGGACAAAAGTCGCACATAATTTTGGAAAAGGGTCAAAAAATCTTAATTTTCAAAAAGTCGTGTCAAAGTGTATTAGCGCTTAAAAAGCGTCAAATGGCCCCTTTAGTGTTGCAACGGCAACACTGCGTATAAGGACTCAAAACATTATTTTTTTTTTCATTTAATGCCCAAATCGAGACTACTAAAAGTCGAGGATATCACATATAAATTTTAGTTCCGATTGGAGTCGGTTAAGTCTTCATAGGGTAATCTGAACTTTGACCCCTGTGTGACACGCCTTAACCGACTTCAATCCGGACCAAAATTTGTATGTGACATCTTCGACTATAGTACCACCGACGTAGGGGTTGAGGCTTAGGAAATCTGATGTAAAAATTTGCTTTCTACATTTAAAGACCACCATAATGTATATACATACATATATACACATAGGCTTATACTCAGCTGATACGTTCTCATCTTGAACTCATTTAAATAGTTATACCTACGTTTTGCAATAATTAACTAAATACATATAGACAATAAAGGAAAATTTCTTGAATATACTATTTCAAAATGTGTTAAGTATGCATTAAATATCCACTGCCAACGCGAGCAAGTCTAAACTAAATGAACATTTTAAGTTTTTTTAAACTAAACACAAATCAAGTCGAATGAGCTTCTAGATTACACAGTGGGTGTCTTATGCATTTTTGCGTAATAAATTATTAATACAGAAATACTCTTATATCTTTAAGTTTTCTGTTCGACTAATTTTTTTAACCACAATTATAATTATTTGATAATCAGTATAACCTTTTAATGGTTGTATTAGTACATACATATCTGAATCATCTGAAAGACATTTAATAATCTATTTATGTATGCAAATCATAAGCTAACCGCATACCTACACAATTTTGTTTTTGAGAATTGTAAACTTATTTATTTACTTGTGCACAATTGCTTGAAAAATTTGCTAGGATTATAAAACACACACTTTCATTTAATTTGCGAATGTTATTGCTTGGTTGACTATAATTTGTCACAGCAAAATTGGAAAAAGTATGACCTTAACTACTCTATTCCTATTCAACATGCTATATTTATTTACCGAAAATTGTAAACAAAATATAGCTTGATGTACAATGAAATTGAAAAATTTCAATGAACAACAGGAAAGTACAAATAATCATAATAAAAACAAACAAATAATAAATTAATTTTATTCAAACTTTTTGATTTATAATCTTAAATTGATATGGTGGAAACTGAAACTAAAATCTAAAAGTTTTTAATTCGGGACGATACCATAGGTTTTATTGTAGTTTTATAAAATTTCGAATATTTGGTATTGCTTGTATTATACTTTTGGTTATAAGTGCTCGATTTGTAAACACTTTTTATTTTAATCCATTTCTTTTTTCAAAATTGGTTTCAAATATTCTTTAGTTTTAATTTTGTAAATACATTTATTGTACTTTTAAACTTGTAACTACAAATGTTTGTATACTTTTTGGTAACATTTTAATTGGATTTCCATAAATCTGTGTATCGACTTGACCGAATGATGTCAGTAGATTTAGAAATATAAAACAAAAATTGCATTGCAATAATGAATTCTTTTTATTTTATTTTAATATATTTTTTATTTGAACACCCTCTAGTTTAAGTTTTTTTTATTATTTTTAATCCACAAAAGTAGCTCCATCTAGCCTTAGAAAACTCACTTCGATGTTGTTATATCCATGAAAATATTGAAAATTGCTAAATTTTTCTCTCTGTCTAGCATGTTTATCGTAAGTTGTCTTTCGTATTGTTAAAACTTTCGTTTTTGGTACTGTGGGTTTAAATGGCAACCTTTTTATGGAGTTGGAAAGTAGACAAGGATAATTAACTAAAATTACCTCTAAAGTCGGGTTTGCTGAATAATAGTGTGGCCGATCGAAACTTTTTCACATTTAAATTAAAGTGTGGGCAATTTATTGACTTTATAAACATTAATTTTAAAGTCAACCCTGGGAACAGAGAAAAATACCTCTATTAAGTATTCAGTGAGTAATCTACCGGCTTTTATGCAGAGCTTAATTTTAAAAGAAAATGAGTTAGGGTTATTCTTTATTAAGGTAACGATATGTATTTATACAGCAGACATACATATAAACACAAATCAGGTGATTTTATTTTTACACTTTCCCTTTCTGGTTGGGAAAGTCTGGACTGCTTCGAGTAGGCAGAAAAAACACGCCAATACGAATTGTTGCTCTATTTTGGGTACACGAGGATTCCGCGGTCTCGTGGGAGGCTGAGCTGTAAATTTGACCTAAAAAAATATTGGTAAATCAGTGTATTCACATCCATTACATTTCTCCTTTTTTTTTGCTTTAAATGATAGCCAAGTATTTTCTGATCGGTCAGATATAAGAGCTATTTCGGGAATTGGGAAAATTGGCTACTGTATTTACATTGTTGAATTAGTTACCTGTGAATAACTAATACTCATCACACCTACTCAAAAGTTCAAGGAAGCCTAATACCCTGCAATCATATCTTCCACGAGCACTTTTCCCAGCATATTACCGCTATAAATAAAACTGGTGCGTTTTACTACATTAAATGTAGTAAATCTAGTCAGTTTCGATATTTAATAGATAATATTCAAAGAGATTTTGGACTGGCCTCGACTCACGTGATGTGAATAAACTTTTTTGATAAGGGTTTTGATTTTCTCCAACAACCTCCAACTGAAAAGCCGATGTTTTTTACACTAAGCAATGTTTTTTAAAGTCAGCTAAATGTATTTCTCTCAACACATCATCTGGTAACCATATCCAAATAATCTAACTGTAACCAAATCATGTGTTCACAGATACATATTTAATTGATTTAACTAAACTCTTTTCTCAGTGTACTTTTGTAACTACATCTTTTCTTACGTTATGTGACATGTTTCTTTTTGTTAATTAGATATATTTTTCTTCAATTCAACCATAATTCATCTTTATAATGTTTTATGACCAAAACATTGTAGCACTTTGCATCCTTAATATTTTATTAATTTATGCTCCCGACCCCGTCGAATTTTCTGTAAATTTGTTCAAATTTATTTAATGAGTAGTTAATTCTATCGCGTATAAAACAATACAACGAAAGGCTAGATGCACTAAATTAAAACCACATAATGGTCTAACGAACTGCATTTACGAGCACTCTCAACACCAACATCGGGAATCGTTGAGTGCGTACAGATTTGATTTAGTTAGTTTTTCTTTTTAACTCGGAAGTGCCTCAGAATTGATTAAATTCAAACAAAATTAGAGCAATTCTCTGCACTAAAGCTTCAATGTAATTTGGCAAATGTTAATTAAAAAAAAAATTGCTACAATACTCGTATTTAGGCAATCAATTCAACATTATCACTAGCTTAAAGTGTATTTATTCCTGCCGACTGCATTCAAAGCAAGAGTTCTGCTTCTAGAATTTTTCGCTTTTGTATAGTACACAGAGAAATTTTCGTTTTCAAATTTGTATAGAACGTACGCACACTTTCTAATCGTTCTAAAAACGATCCTAAAATCTTTTTTCTTAATTTTACAAATATGCGTTTTCAAATTTGATACTCAAATTTTATTTTCATTAAATCACAATAAGTCATTTGGTATACATATATGTATGTAAATACATTGTCAAAAATATATTTATATATACTTACAAAATTACAAAATTTAATAAATTATATACAGGTGTTTTACATATCCTATATACATACATACATAAATATGTAATACATATTACTTACCTTGCTTCCAAGCTGGGTCTGCTAATTTTGCTTCACGCTGGTCAAATCCTGTAATTGAAAACAAGAAAGTTTTAAATTATTATTTAATAACTCATAAGAATTAGTTTTTGTTAATTATTCTTACCAAAGCTTTTTCGGTCAAAGTCCACCGAATTACCCTTGTCCCTTCTATGTAGTTAGGTGGTTAGAATGGCGGTATTGCTTATATATACTTCATCGCCTTTTCTGAAGATTGAAGTAACTTTTTTATCTGAACACAATTTTTTCCACAAATGATGCAAACATATGAAATGTTTTTCATTATAGCTAGGTAGCTTTTTAAATTCTGATGCAAAACATTTTAGTTTAAAATATTTTTCATACATAATTGACTAAAAGTAAATAAACGTTTTTATCTTAAAAGTGTATAAATTTATTTTACTTGTTGAAAATTGTGTCGCACTACAACTCGTTGGGACAATATTCTAAAATGTTTCATTTCAGTTTTGAAAATACGCATTTTTGGCGTTATTTCTTTAATTTCGTTTGTTTCCCTCAGTAAAAAAAAAAGTGAATTTATTATAACGATCGTTTTTGTTTTGCGAATGTTTCGTTTTAAAGTCGTAAATACAAATACTGTTTTTTTTTTTATTTTGTATGAAGTAAAACTATATCAAAAAATTTTATTTTACAATTTCTTTTAAAAACTTGCGTTTTACCTGTATTATTTTCTCTGTGTACCGTGTACAGGGTTAAATGCGAAATCCGGTTATAAAAGTTAATGGGGCTATTCATAGTCTACCTAAAGATAACACTAAAGTTTGTTGTCGACTTTTGACATAATTTTGAAGGGAATATCTATCAAAAAAGCTGAAACTAACTTTAGAATCGACTTTATTTCGACTATGAATATGAATACTCATAAATAGGCATGAACACATATACATTTTATTTTTTTTTTCGATGCCCTTATATGTATACTTGTATTTAACTCATAAATAGGCATGAAAACATATACATTTTTTTTTTAATTTTTTTCTCGAGGCAATAGTCAATAAAATTTAAGTTATTAAATTTAATATCACCAACCAAGAGTTCTTAGTTGGTTTTCCCCCTTATGTGCATTTTTTGTATAGCGCTTTAATATCTCTTGTAGGCGGCTTTAATATAATTATGTTGAAGCTTTCTCATAATACATACTATGTGCACTTATGGAAATGAGGCTGAGTCTCGTGCAAGTTTCAAAATAAAAATGCTACTTTCACACGTATTTCTACATAACATATGCACAGCACTACTACATGGCTAACACTCATCAAGGTACAGCATTTCCTATTTCGCTAACACACCCAGAATTATTGGCAAACAAGGATTAGGTCAAATTGCGCTATGTACTTTTTTAATTTTGTCCGTTATACACATTACATACAACTTTTGTTTCACATAAAATTTCATACATACAAGAATTTGTTGCTATGTGTAAAATCGCTTTTTTTGCTGCAAATAAAAAACAATAAATTAATCATAAGACAATAGAAAAAACAATACCAGTATAAAAAACTAAGCTCGTAATTTTTCTGCCAATTCCACTTTTTTTCTCCCGAAAATCCTTTATTTGTACAACAACATCTGCGACAACTCTGCTATTTGGAAAATCTGCGGCTTGCAAATGGAAAACTGTCTCACATCATTGATTCCCTTCCCGAATATAAATAAAACAATTTTAATTGTGTCTACTCTATGTATATCGCCCACCAACCAACAATCTTCTCAAACACCAACAATTTTCACCAAATGCAACAAAAAATTAAAATAAATATACTTCACGAAACCAATACCACACTTCGATATCGAACCAATTTTTACATGTTTAAAATATATGCCAATTGCACTTTAAAATATAAAACTTGTTACATTCGCTGCAATTAAAATAAAATAAATCACAAACGAAAGGTCCATGAACGCCAAACCGCACGCATGCGCACTCGCTCCGAATGGTTTTTGGGTCCTAGGGATAGTGAGTTAGCACTGAATTTGCCCAACACATGCAGCAATTGTTGTCTGGCTGCGGTACAGATGCAGCAGCAGCAACAACAACACTTACAATCACATGGCTATCTAGGTGGCGGTAGCACCCGTGATATGCGCGCATATCGTGACGGCTTCGCCGATGGAGCTGATGACGAGAATAGTTTGTTAGTGGGCAGCGGTTGCGGACGTAATGGCAATCCGCTTTATTTGTATTATAAGAAAAGAGCGCAACAACAACAGAGGAATGATACTCGGCAGCAAACGCAAGCTGAACATATGGACACAGATGATACCTGCCATACGTATGATTACAAATTGCAGCAACAACAGCACCATCTGCAAGTTGAGTCTACAAATATTTATCCTAGATCACAGGCAGTAGATCGACGATTATTAGAGCCAACAGCAACGATCGCGGCAGCACACAATGGCTGTGGTCGCCGGTTGTATTTGGATGCGAATGCAACAACCAATATCGGTAGCTATGTCGCCTCATGTAATTCTACTAATAATAATTATATATATGATTCTAATGATATAACTAAAGCCTATGCTTTCACTACAACTTCTTTTATAACTACTTCTACTACTTCTACTCTACAAATAAACTCAAATTCTAATACTACCAAGCCTTCTATTGATAACAGTAATAGTGGAAATAATTATCTAGAGAATGTTATGAATAACAACAGTAACACAGAAAACAAGAACACTAATTTTACATTGTTAGCAAGTAGTCGCCAACATTTAAGCAATTTGTCTAACACTAAATATTCACATTATAAACATTCAGCGACAAAACCAGTGTCGACACGCTATGATCTACACCGCATTCATCGCGTTCGCCCACATATAAAAACCATAAACTCGCCTCCATATTTGCATCCAAACTCACAATCACAGAACCATCAGCGCCAATATCTGGACCAAAAACGATGTTCAAATCTGCCCAGTCACTACCATTCGACCGATTCCGTGCGTTATTGCTATGTAGACTTGGATGTGGAAATTGTAACCGAGCCGCCAATGCCCTCATCACGATTATACCACAGTCCGCGAAAGCAAGTATTTACTGCAAGGCGTTGTAACTCATCCATCGATCTCTATAAAGTTGACGATGATGGTGTCGAAGCCAGCAGTGATATCGATCATAACTATCTAACATACTCGCTATCGAATGATCACCAAGAGCCTGCACTTGATGAAAGTGCAGTATCTGCGGTAACTATTCGCCCGGTATCTTCTGAAACATATTCTGACTCGACTGGTTTTTTGACTGCGTTGGATACCTCTGTCGCGACTGTTTCTACGGCAGTGGCAACTGGTGAAACTGGCCGTGACTGGCCACTTGCAGGGGCTGAAGAAGTAGATTTTATCCCTACATCCCGTTTTCGGCAGAGTACACCGCGTATTCAACGTCGTCAACAGCAAATGCGTCGGCGGCAACGTTTTTCCTCTACATCGACGCAATATCAGTCACTCAACGCAACGGGAGGGATCAACCTAATATCAACGACGGAGGACGGTGGAAACGGCAGTGGCATTGGCAGGAACACACGTACTGAAAACGGCAGTCATTTTGTTACAATCATCTTTAATGTTCTAGACTTCTTATTTTAATGCAATTTCATATGTATGTGTTTTATTATAAGTTACCTAAATATTAAGATTGCTTTGGCGCTTTTTTATAAAACTTTTTATTTATTTATCTTTTATTTCTGAGTAATGCAATTAATGTTGTGATTAACGACACTATTGGTTGGTTTACTGTTTAGAATATTAACAAGGCTATATATTTTATTGTTTAATTTGTGCTTGTGCGGATATATTGATTTGTTACTGTGTAACTTGATAATTTGGAAACATGACAACTTAATTTAAAAACTAAAGCGCAATTATAGAAAAATTATCCATTGTGAGAAGAAAATTGCGACATCAATTAAAATTTGCCCCTCACATTTTTGCCAAGTGTTTGGTGAAGCTTCTCCTCGAATTCGTCTTAATGTTGTCTCAGAAATGGTGGGACTTTTAAGTTTTCGCTGCCTGCCAAGGCGAAATGGTTTTCAAGAAAAGCTATTTCATGCTGTTAGAAAAGTTTTTCAATTATATCTTGCATAGACCGTGAATTTAGATTGAACCTGGGTTCTACAGAACGTTTATACGCATCTCAACATCTTGGATTCGAGGACCACACATTTTTTAACTGGTAACAAAAATTGTAATAGAAAACAATTTAGATCAGTGAATCCACCAGGTGTTGTCGTCAAGCTCAGTTTACGGTAAGCCCGCGAAACTGCCATTTTTTATCTCCTTTAACTCGCTTCTTATAAAGTAATTTTCCCGGTTTGCCCGATTTTGTTTATAGGCGGTGATTATAAGCTTGGGGTTTCACATTCTCTAGAAAATCTTTTTATAGCAACACTATTGCTGACGCTAATCAGGGAAGATGCCATGCCGTACATTATATAATAAAAAAATAGTATTTAAATAAAGTTTAAATAAACAAAATATGAAAAGTTGTATTAAAAAAAATCGGATGTAAAAAAAATCAGTAACGATGAATTGATAAATATCTGTGAACATTTGACAAAACAACCTGTGCGCTTTCTGTAGGTTGGAATTTAGAGTAAATTATAAGGCATGGTGAAATTATACCAGGTGTAGTAATAAGAGCGAGAAAAAAATTTACACTATGTTATTTGAAAATGTCTTATTAAAAACTTTTATAAGATAGCCGGTTGTCACGAAAATTTAGAAAATAAAGCGAGAAAGCTGTTTTATTACTTAACCTGTTTATAATTTCACCATGACTATAAGGGACTTCCATTTAACAATTTGACTTTTCTATTTAACTTTCATTAAGATAGCATTAGTTCAAGATGTCCTATTTATTAATGATAATGATATTAACATAAAAATGTCATACGACAACTCAATGAATAACCGCTTTGAAGAGAGAATGACCTCACTAGAGAGAAATTGTTTTGACAAAAGTCCGCAGATATGTATATGATATTTAGAGGTCCACTTTTTCAAAGAGGGCGATCTTCACATGATAGTCAACTTTTAGCTGAAACGCTTTAAGAGTACAAAATTATAAAGATACATAAATAGATTTCATGTAAATATACACCTGCGAGTAACCAAATAGCAGTACTTCAAATTGATCAGTTTTCAGTATTTTTGTTTTTATTGGTTCAGTAATTTTTTATAATGCACTTGTGCATAGGTATATTTTTGTAAGTTTTATTTTGTGATGATGTACAAATATTGTTTTCCTTTTTTAGTCCTGAAGATGCCTTCAAACTGAAGGCGAAATATCGACCAAAATAAAAATAAAAGTAAATAAATCAGAAAAACGTTTAATGTTTTATTTAACATACGGCCTATAGCTCAAAAATAAATTATGTTTTATAAAAATATAGGAAAAACTATAAAAAAAATTTACCACTTTGTGAAAAAATAAGACAAATTCAATAAAGCTTCATAATAATTGAGAATATTTAAATAGAATTTCTAGAAAAAAATTTGGTATGTAGATTTGTAGCCTATTAAATTTTAGTAAAATAAAGTGCAAGTTTGAAATTTATTAAATTATTATTTTTTTCTGACGGTGTCACTCATTTTCTTTCGTACAAAGCACGGTATACAGTAAACCAGCCATTGACAATATGCTTATTTGAAAATTAATACATGAAATATTGTGCATTTATAGGATTATTTTGTCATTAACCCATAGCCAAGGACTGGTGCAAAAGTACCCCCAAATGTTTGTTGTAATATTTGAAATGTAAATTTTAACAGCGAAATTCGTAAAAAAAATAATAAAACAAAAATATTGTTGATTACTACATGGGAGGTGGTCGTGGTTATAGACAGATTGTTTAGGACAATTAAATTTACGACCCGCCCTAAATATTTCACTTTGTGTATAAGACACAACAGTTAGCTTATACTTGTACAATCCACTAGCTATGTTAAAATTTCCCTTGCGGGAAAAAGCTGAGGCAAACTACATAGCAGGAAAAGGAAGGGATTTTACTTATCCTGCGAGTATCCAAGTAAGCAGACGTCCTCGAGCCACCACGCCTCATCAATTTAATAATAAAGGAGCGAACGTGCATCTGGTCCTTGCCCCATATTCGCCCGATGAACACAGATTTCAGATTATACCAAAGGCAACTTCGGCACAGACTTTCGTTAAAATATCTAAATTTTGTTCGATTTAACGTGTTTACAAACAGACACGACTGAACCAATTCATTTCGTCATTCTGAATATTTTTTTGCCTATCTGGATTACTGTATACTGTGGTACAAAGTTTGATCGAAATTTTTGTATATGGAATTTTGATGAAAATTTGTTGTATTTTTCTCGCAGGGATATGAACCTAGTAAATATGTATTTTGTATTTACACTTGCATGTTTACAACTCATTTGATAATTTAACGGCCTTCGCACAATCGCTCGGTTTGAAAAAAAAAATCTTTACTTATGTACTTTGTGAATTTAGGGATTGCTTTGTAAAAAATAAGATTTAAGATTTTTACATGGAGGCAAAAATATTCATTGGTTTGGCATTTTATCACTATTTGATTTTATGAGTTAAGATAAACAATTTTCACTTTGTATAAGTAAGCAAACAAATTTTGTATTTTTCTGTTTATGCTTAAAATATAAAATAAACAAAGTTTTTGTTAGATCGTATGTGTTTTGTGTTTCTCTGTTAGTTATATTTCTTGGTTATTTTTTTTACCGATAAAAAGTTTAAAGTTTGTTAGAAAGATAAATATGTTGTGTTTTGACTGCTTTAACCTTGTTTTTGACCCAATGTTTTATAAATTTCATGTTTTAATGATTTGTTTATCTTCCTTTGTGTATTTAACAAGCCACATTTGTTTTTATATGGGGCTAATAAAATGTGCTTTCGTGTATTAACCATTTTAACGTCCTTCGTCTTACATTAATCATAAAATTAAATCGACCAACAGTAATATATTCACAAGTCAACAATTCCCAACTGACATACCTCCAACTGCAAATACCATATCCACATTTACACACTAGTATATTCGTTAATTGGCCTTTTACTACATTCATACATATGTATACATATTGGCATTTCACAAAATCCAATAAAAGTGACGTTATCTATTGTTTCTGAAAAATCTGTATGCTAATAGTTTTCAAAAAGTTTACCATATATATTTTTTTAATTAATAACTTTTGTCCTAATACCTGCTATCTTACCATTTCTATCTATTTTGCGATCTTCCTGTGCCATGACTATTCCACTTAAAACCTATTAAAAATGTCCAACGACTGTAAATCGACCCACCGTCCCACGCCAAATAACTGACCAATTCCACAAACGGTACAATTTTCGATTAAACTACATATGCGGCACTTGTAGTTGGCAACATCCGTTTGAGTAATAGTGCCGAGTCCATTCAGTATCCAGCCACAACCGCACGGCGTTCATCCTCCCGACGTTTGATTGGCGTAAACGTGCCACGACAATATCCGTTGCGCTCTTCATTGCGGCGAAATAGAGAAAAACAGGTGGGCAGTGGTAACATAGTCAATAACGGTAGTGGCAGCAGTGTCGGCGATAGCAGTTGCGTCCTCGCCGCTAATATTTCCGCAGTCAGCGGTAGTGGTCGTATGTTACCAGTTGCTACAGCGCCATCATCAGTGCGTAATTCTATTGCAGAATGTTGCGGCAACGTTGGTACAGAACAAGACAGCCAGTATATTTCAATACCAGCTTATCCATTTAGTCGCTTAGAGGACTGCACGAACTCACCAGAATGCAAACAACCTTATCCCTCTAGTATGGTTGGTGAGAAAATGATGGGTGAAACTGTAAGCGCCAGCGGAAATATGGCCGCTGTGGGCGGTATTGACAGCATGCTGATGGATACTACAGAATATATGAAAGTCTGCAACAACATAGCGCCAACATTCGCTGATCTAAGTGGCAACAATAATTTAGTTTACACCACAGGAGCAATCAATAACAGTCCGCCATTGATGACGACGCTGAAATCGGAAAACGTTGTTAGTGCGTCTACAGCGGGACAATTCAAAAAGATGGCAATACATAACAAAAGCAGGGATGAAGGCCAACCAGAAGAGGAGGGTGTTTCAACAATTACATTTAAGGCGCCGCGTGTATGAAAATAGAAAACCAGAGGGCCTTCCAATATGCATAAGAAATAACGTGTCAGGACAAAACATTATTCCAAAATATTTATGTACATGTGCATATGTGTATGCCTGAAAATGGATTAATACGACTAAAGAAAGCAAGGAAACGTATTTTTTTTTAAATATCGTTTTAAACTTGCGCTTGTGTATCTTAGAGTAAACTAACTGAATACTGAAAAATTATGGTTAGAGACTTTCGTAGTTATAATGTTATGTCGATTTCGTTTCTACAAAAAATGTTGCCTTCTCATCGCCCTCTTCTTAGTGCTTGTGCGTAGAAGGCAAAGAGAAGGTTGCATTTTTCGGTAGAAACGAAATCGGCATTAGCCAAGTTGGATATATGCACATACATACACATGCATTTATGTATATACGGTTGCATGAAAAGAATGAACTGTAATATATGTAATTAAATATAAACATATTTAGTGATAGCAATATTTTTTTAGTTTACAGTAAATATTAAACGGATTCTAAAACAATGTTTCAAACAAAACTTATCTATATAAGATCTAGTACATATCGCCGTTTAAAGTACAAAACCGCGTATCAACAAAATGCAAAACCGCGTATGTGAGGTTGCATAAATTATTTTCTAGAGAGTAAAAACGCTTATATTTCAAAATGGTTCTCTTTTTTATAAAGCAATCGCATTTCTGGCTAGTATACTTCAGGACGAATGGATGAGGCTTGAGCCAAGAGTTTGTGTGAGCAATTCCAATTTTTGGCAAAAAAAATGTCAGTTACGCGATTTTGCAGAACGACGATACGCGGTTTTGTACCTTAAACGGCGATATGCATGTATACAAGTGGGTACGCTGTCAATATGTATGACTTAAGTATATAAAGATATCTATTGCCAATAATGGTTAGATAGAAGTCTGCTGTAAATATTTCTAACAAAAAAAAATGCAAGTTTTAATACGTACAGATGTCCTTAGATACATACGTTTCGTTACCTTAATATCACTAAATCCATCGTAGCCCGATTTTTCGTGAAATTTATGCGATTACTGAATTCGAATTGCTACGAACGTAGCTTATACTTTGAATACATACTATGTACGCTCGTAGCAATTCAAAAAATATCGAATCACGATGGATTCAGTGATAGCCCCCATAATGTATTACATACATTTCGTACCCTTGATTCATAAAGGCCCTAACCAACAAATTTTTTATTTTACTGGAGAAGCAAAAAAAATTTCAAAAAGAGTACCAAAAATAGGTAGAGCTTTTTAAAAAGTCGCATGTAACTCCGTTGTTTTTGGTACTAGCACTTTAAAATTTTTACTAAAGGTGCACTTTAATACCTCCTACCAAAATCCGTGAAAAACGCAGTCCTATTGGGCCTTTGTGAATTAAGGTAACGATATGTGTATAGAAGGATCATACCATGCATTTTTGTTTCTTTACATAGTGAGTTATAACTTTTTAAAAACTGAAGTTCTCAGTTTCAAATTTCTGGAAACCAGTTTTTTATTAACGACTGAAGCTAATTCAG